CCTAGCAGGGACCTTTGATTCCATCATCTTGTTTGTTTGTTTCAAGACAGGGTCTCATTATGTAGCTCTGGCTGGACTTGAACTCCCAGAGATCCACTTGTCTCCCAAGTGCTGGAATTAAAGATGTGGGCCTCCACTGCCTGGCTTGATTCCATCACCTTTATGAAATACATATGGCCTCTCATTCCCCAGGTACTAGACACCCAGGATGATCACGGAGGCAAGCTGGGCTTGGATCCCAGCTCCACCGCTTGCTAGCAGAGGTAGACAGCTCACGTCTTCACTTCCCGATATGTAGGTATGCAAACTAAGTGTGAACATAGCAGCACCCAACTCCTGAGCTGTTATACAGATGGTTCGAGATAATCCACACACAGTACCCAAACACAGGAGCACTCAGTTACATGAAGAGGAGCAAAGCAGCGGTGGGAAGGGGGTAAAGTGTGACGGGGTGGGTAACTTGGCTGCTTTAGCGACCCTAGACAGGGAGGTGTTTGTCCTCCAACTGTCCTACTCATGGCTGGAGTCCCCATTGCAGAGGGAAACTTGTATCATAGGCCCTGTATCACATCTGTAGGACCAGGTCAGGAAATGAAGAAAGGCTAAGAGGCATGAAGGTCAAGGACATGGGGGTCAGGAGACCCTAAAAAGGGCCCCGCAGCCTCCCCCAACATGCCAGAGCTAGATGCACACTTTTCTTTATTTTTTAAACATTTCTCCTTCTTACTCATTGGATATTTACTTTTATTTTTAAATTATATATGCACCCATGTGTCTGTGTGCAGATGTGTGCAGGTACCCATGAAGTCCAGAAGATGGTATTGGAGGCTTTGAAGATAAAGTTACAAGCAATTGTGAATCACCAGGTTCGGGTTCTGGGAAATGATGTCAGGCCCTTTGGAAGAGCAGCAAATGCAACCACCAAGTGTCTTGCCAGCACCGAATGCACACATTTTTTGACACCCAGACCTTATATTGGCCTTCTGCATCTATTCCTGAATTCTTCCCCACAGCCCTGACAGGGGTATTATTGTCTTGTCCCCTTTGGCAGAGGAGGGGAGAGATCTTCAGGCCCACACAAGGCAATGGAAGCAGAGGGAGTCTGGGTTCCTCATCCTGCCCTCCAGAGCTCCTGTCCCCAGCCCCTCGCACTTCAGGGTTTCTCCTACCTTGAGGCTGACATCGTTGTTGCTGCCCTGATCCTGAGCAAGGTTAGGGCAGCTCTGGCCACCCCAGGGCCTGGGAAGGAAGCACAGGGGAAAAGAATAAGCAGAATCCTGCTGTCCCACACCTGCCACACACTGAGTCTAGAGGCCCCTCCCCCATCTAATCCAGACCCCACAGCTCTGCAGGATGAGGACTCAAAGCTTTGGGGGAGGCCGGCCAACAGCCTCCTCTGCTTCCTTCCCCATTGCCCCAGCACACACGGATACACACACACACACTCTCTCTCTCTCTCTCTCTCACACACACACACACACACTCTCTCTCTCTCTCTCTCACACACACACACACACTCTCTCTCACACACACACACGACAAGAGCACAGCGCTCTGATGAGTTTAGTGCTTCATGTTTAACAAGAGCCCCTGGGTGCCAGGCTTAACTCAGGGTCTATGCGTATCTGATCACCTTTAGGCTTTAGAAAAATACCAGTGCCTAGGTACTTCAGAAGAGACAAGCAGAGGCACAGACAGCCAAAGTCACTCGTTCCAGAGTCATCCAGCCAGCGAGCCCTAGAACAAATTGGCCATGACTCTCCCACTCCAACGCTTGACTAAATATTGCGTTAGTGGGAGAAAGATTTACAAGTGTGTTGCCAACCCTCTGCCCCTCTCCTGAGGAAGCAGCAGGGACCAGAGGTCTGTGCCTCAGTTCAGGGTTCCATTCCCATGGCTGCTAAGAATGGGGTCCAATTGTATACATGTGCATGCATCATCATGCTGGCCATGCATTCCCTCTCCCCCTCTCCTCACTCCTGACTCACCTGCACCCCAAGCCAGCCTCCTCTATGAGTGTGGAGAGGTGTGGGGAGAAGCTATCAGGCCTATAGGGCAGGTTTCTGCCAGACAGGGTAAGGGAGAGGGTGTGTCTTCCAGGTGGGGGTGGGCAGAGCACTGGTAGGGTGTGGGCACCCCAAGGCACTCAGGCTTCCAGGTACAGGGTGACTGGGCCCTCCCCTCTTTAAGGTGAGAGAGCAATACAAACCCCTCCCCTCTGCCCCCACCACGCCCTCATCCCTCCTGAGCCAGCAGGCCTGAAGACAGCTGCGTCATGATAAGATCTGAACAAATTGCCCAGTAACTGCATAGACATATAAACACCCAACACCCAGCACTGTCAGCACGCCCACACAATCTGCTCTTGCAGGGTCGTATGAGCTACATGGGCCTCTCGGATGGATCTTGACTATTCCCTTGAAGCCATCAGGCTCAGCCGTCCACAGGGCAGGCTATTCTCCATTCTAACAACCTACCACGAAGGGCTCAGGAAGGGGAAGGAACTCCCTCATGTAACTCAGCCAGCAGGCAACTATGGGTAGCCTCCTGGCATCATGGCTTTCCCATCTGGCCATCTCCATAGCAACAGAGCTTTTGGAGAATTGAGTTCAGAAGTCAGCCAGCTAAGGGGCGTGTCACAGCTTCACCACTTCCCAACTGTGTGACTTTAGGTAGGTGACATCACGTCTCTGAAACTCAACTTCCTGGTCTGAGTCACAAGGGGCCACTGGGAGGGTTGCTCCAGATCACTCAAGGACGGCAGGAAGCAAGGGGCACGTGAAGGTTTGTTGTGGGTACAGTCTAGAGCTATCTCCAGGTTCCAGGATGCCAGGAGGAAACCTATGCGTGGCATCTGAGGGTAAATACAGTGCAAAGCCAGCTCTCGAACCCGTCAGACTCAAAAGACCACAAAAGCCAGGGAACCATTGACCTGCAATGTGAGAACCAAAGTCCACAGCGGGCAGCAGAAGGAGCAGAAGGAGGAACTACTGGGTAGGAAATCATTGGTTAGCAGTTTGTCTGACAGGAACTTCTCAAAGTTGCTTTAAGTTAAAAAAAAAAAAAAAGTGCACAATGACTATCCAATGTAATGGAGCTTATTTTTAATTCCAGCACTTGGGAACCATGGCTGCTTCACATACATACATGGAGATAGTATATCTTCTAAAACGGAAAAAAAAAAAAAGAGTCCACAGAGAAACTCCACAGCTCTCAGATCCAAATCATGGTACTTGTCACGTGCAATTTGTGCTCTAAGATATTCGCATGCTGATTTGAATTCTCATTCATTTTTTTTTTTTTTTTTTTTTTACACACTAGTCCCAAACACATACCCCTAGGCCAGGGATGCCCCACCCAGCCTTTCTCCATCTCCCCTCACCTATCCGGGAGTCTGGTCTCCTTTGAGATCTTGTCCCTGCGCTCCCTTCGGCCCCCTAGTCCAGTCAAGAGCCGGGCCAGGCGAGCCCCGAAACCTCTGCGCTGCTCTCTCATGGCGAGATCAAGGTCTGGGGCTTCAGCCGGTGGGGCACTTAGCGGCAGGTGTCACCCGGATCCTCTGTCCAGGCAGAGAAGCGCCTCCTCCTGCCCGTCCCCCTGAGCAAACAGCTGCCTTGCTCACAAGGGCCACGGGCGGGACCTGATCCAGATGTGTCCTGGGCCTGCAGATGCACCTTCAAGGGACCGTGCCCAGTCCGGGTCTCAGTCCAGAGCACTCCCACACCAACCACCCCCTCCCGAGCTGCTGCTCTCTATTCCGTCCGTCTGTCCTCCAATTTCACGCCTCTGGGGATGTCGCAGGTGGATTTGTGTGAACACTTGGGGAACTGGACATGAACAAAGACGAAAGGAGTCTGGGACCCGCTGGGACCGGGGAGCTGCACCGTGCCTAGTAAGGTCCCGGAGTTGCTACTGCAGTGGATCCGAGCGCGGGCAGGAAAGGGGCAGACTCTCTCCAAGTGAGTGGGGCCTAGCCTGAGGGGTCGGTGTGACAAAGGTGAGCAGAACCCCGGCCTTCGTTGCTGGAGGGGCCGAAGCCCACCTTGCTATCGCCTCAGGAGCTCCCTAGGAGGGTGCTCTCCGTCTTGGAGCTGCCTACCACGTGGAGTGGGATTGTCACTCCTTATGGAGATGAGGAAGCCACACGAAACCAACCAACAGAGGTGCGACTGGCGCCCCCTACCGCAAGTCGGTCATTCTTCGTAGCCTTCCTTTATTGTGACTCTAACCCATCCTCCCTGGCAGTTTGCTTTCCCACCTTATGCCGCCTGGCTCAACTCGTGGAGGAAGGGGACACTTGGCACACCTAAGGGGACCCCGTGGAGACAGGCCATTGGTAGAGCTGTTATCCCCCACTATTTTGCTGGTTCTTCCCTGTTTGTTGTCCTAATTGGCTGACTATCCCTTGCCCTCTGGTCCTTGTACACATGATTCTAGGTCATGAGAGGACAGGAATATCTGTGTCTCTTTCTCACCCTATCCCGTGGAGATGGCAGGATTAATACCAGCTGACCTCTCCGCCTTGGCTGAGTATGAGCAGAGATCGGAAAGTGGTAGGCAGGAGCCCACCGACAGTCGGAAAGCTGTTCAGGAAGGAGGGCAGCCAAGTCCTGTGTTTGGGCTGCGCACAAATCAGTTCTTGCTTCATTCTCCACTTACTGCCAGGTGCTCTTTGTCCATCAGACCAGGCAACTAAAGTGGTTGATAATAATCAAATAGCTGCAGCCCTCCTGCCTCCAGTGTCGTCCCCCCCCCCCACCAAGGACACTGCCTTCATCCAGTCCTGAAAGGCAGCACTGTCCATTGGTGAGGTGAGATGGAGAGCTGAGCCCCGGATAAATCACAAACAAGGAATAGAATGCAAACCCAACCTGAGTTACATGGTTGCATGTACCCACCCCACATGGGCTGTGTGCCCTGCCCTGATCCCAGGGAAAGGATGGGATCTGGCAGGGGCATGGGGAGATCCCCCACCCCGGAGATGCTCACGAAGCCTTGACTCAGCACTGAGAAAATACTTTAATTGCCAACACTCCATTTCCAGAGAAACCCTAGCAACCACTGCTCAGGCTGGCTGCCCTTGCTTTCCCTGGGACACCGAGGACACCTTGACCCTGTCCACATCCCAGCCCATCTTCTCTGAGGATGCTTCCACAAGACCGAGTGGTCCTTGGCGCCATTGGGCAAAGCAGGTGTGAGAGGTGAGGAGCATGTGGGTGTGGGCCAGGCTACGGGGCCAAGGAGACTGCAGCCTATGGTGCAGTTTCTGATGGACATGCGCGGTGAAGCGACTGGAACACACGTTGCACTGAAAGGGATGGGCACCTGAGTGCAGGCGAAGGTGGCTCTTGAGGTTGCTGGAGCTGCTGAAGCGCTTGTGGCACATCTGACAGGGAGAGGCACTCTGTCATCTCTGCCCTCCAACAGGCTGGGGCCTCCCAACCCCCACCCATCTTGGACACACCTCCCCTAACCCATCTCCCAGTCAATGCAGATCCAGATGTTTTTCTGATTGTTCCTCCCTGGGACCCACTGCAGGGCACATTAGAGCCTGGCAGGTGGAGGGGGCGGGGAGCATTCTCCTTTTATTCCTGTGTGACTCTGTGTGAGTGACTTCCCTCTGAGTTTCTTTCTTTGCCTGTCAGTTATAGATGAGCACTGCTTCTTAACCCCATTAGTTCGGGAAGACCAAATAAGGTTAATCACTTAGAACCCTGATTCAAGAGACTGCAGTCAACACTTAACTGGGGAGCTGGTCAAGCCAGGAGCTGACCTTGCATAGTCTTCCCAAGAAGCATGACTAAAAACCAGTGAGAGGGCAGAGGCTCAGAGCAATGAGGCCTCTGGCCAAGGGCCACACAAGTTGGGAGGAGGAGCTAAGCCTTGAACAGTGGTCTGACTTTGTAGCTTACTTAGACTCAAAGCCATGATATTGCTCTCATGTCTGCCCCTGTAAAAGGAAGAGACTCCCCGCCTCTGCCCTCCCGAACAATGAGAGCAGACCCAAGGAGCTGCATTGATCCAGTTGTTTGTCTATTTGGATCCTTTGCATAGGCTCCTTCAACAACCCAGGGGGGGTAGGGAAGCGTATGTGAGCTCCGGGATCTTCAACTTCAATATTCTCCATGCACAGACCTGCAGCTGTATTTTCTCCTCCAATACCACATATTCCAGTGGCCTGTCCAGAGCTTGAACACGAGCATGGCACGTGTGTGTGTGTGTGTGAGTGTGTGTGCGCGCGCGTGTGCGTGAGTACACGTACACACACACAAGCTCTCGCCACTAGCCACCCTCTACCCTCTCTTCTCCATCTTTACTTACTCAGGGAAACAGGCCCAGGTGCCACCCCTCCACCTAGAATCCCTCACTAAGCTGCAAGTGTACACGGGAAGGGGAGAAGGGTCTCACCCGGCACTGGTGGGGCCGCTCCCCAGTGTGTACCAGGTGGTGCTTCTGCAGGTGGGCCAGCTGGGTGAAGCTCTTCTGGCACAGGGCACACTGAAATGGACGCTCCCCACTATGCACACGCAGGTGGACCTGGAAGAAATATTGGCAGCTGCCCAGAATGCCTGACATTCTGTACAGCTGCCCAGAGTCCCTCAAATCTCCACCTACACCCTCTGCAGGGTCCTTCGCTGGCATCCAGGACTCTCTATCACCTCCCTCAGGTACTATCAATATCCAGGACACGCTCATTATTTGGTCTGCTCTATAGCAGAGATTCAGAAAGATAGATAAGGGGTGCCCCAGGTATCTTTTAGAATAGCTACTTAAAGTACAACTCACAGACCAGCAGCATCAGTATGACCTTGGGAACATGCTAAAAATGCAATGTCTATGAGCTGGAAGAATGGCTCACTGGTTAAGAGGCTGCTTTTCCAGAGGACTTGGGTTCAATTCCAAGCAGCCACATGGCAGCTCAAAACTGTTTGTAACACAGTTCCAGGGAACCTGACACCCATGGTAAAACACCAATGCACATAAAATAAACAAATTTTTAAAAATGCAGACTCTAGGGCTGACCCCCCTGGACCAGCTGAATCATCATCTCTGTGACTGGAGCCCGGGAAATCGGCAGGTTTGCTCGCCGTCTGAGTGGTTTGAGGTTAAGACTTATGCATCCCGTCCTCAGAGGATCCAACAGAGCTGTTTCCCGGGTAACTATAACCAGCACACAGCTGTGGTCTTGGCTAACAGTGAGGGGCCCTCGTGGGTATCCCCTGCTGGATGATGTACAGATGACACCTACAGCACTTGGCCTGATTTGTGGGATCCCACTAGAAAAAGGTTGTTTGTAAGACTGTGGTCTCGAGTCACCAAAACCTACCCATTCCCCCCTTTTGATCTTCAAAAGCAAGGGACCCAGAGAGGATGCTGTCCGGGAAAGAGCTTGGTAGTTGCTGCCAAGAAACTGAAATCCAAGCTCAAACCTGCTAATAAAGTGTGGTTACCTTGAGATCCTGTCTGTTAGGGGCCTCAATTTCCCCTTTCTTAACTTTAATAAAGTGGTCTCTAAATCTTTCAGGATGGAGGAGACTTGATACACACACACCCATCCTTTACTTTTTGAGTCAGGGCTTCCCTATGTAACCTTGGTTGGCCTGGAACTGGACATGTAGACCAAGCTGGCCTCAAACCCACTGAGATCTTCTTGCCTCTGCCTCCCAGGTGCTGGGATTAAAAGCCACTACAGGTGGCTTTTTTTTTTTTTAAGATGGTGTGGAAGTTTGAATGAAAATGGCCCCTTAGAGATGGGCAGTGTGGTGCACACCATTAATCTCAACACTCAGGAGTTTGAGGACAGCCAGACCTACACCAAGAAACTCTGTCTCAGAAAAAAAAAGGAAGAAAGAAAGAGAGAGAGAAAGAAAGAAAGAAAAAAGAAAAAGAAGAAAATGGCCACATGGACTCATGGAGAATGTCACTATGAATAGGTGAGGTTTTGTTGCAGAAAGTGGGTGATTGGGAAGGTCTTGCAGGTCTCAGAAGCTCAAGCCTGGCCAGCGTGTCTCTGTCTTCCTGCTGCCTGTGGATCCAGTTATAGAACCTCTGGCTCCTCTCCAGCATCATGTCTGCCTGCATGCCACCATGCTTCCCCCATAACGGACGAAACCACTGAACTTTGGGCCAGCCCCAGGTAAATGTTTTCCTTCGTAAGAGTTGCTGTGGTTGTGTTGCCTCCTCGCAGCAATAGAGCCCTAATTAAGGCAGGTGGGATCTCATTATATTTCCCAAACTGGCCTTGGACTTCTGCTATCACCCCCTGCCTCAGGGGTCTGACCTTAGAAAGGAAAAGTGTGCTCCACCAAACCCAGGCAATGGTCAGCTCATCCTGTATTCCCCAAATCCCCCCATCTCCCCCTCCATGAACCTCAAGACCACTTGGCCCTAGGAGGTTCCCAGGAGTGGCTTCCAGATGTCAAGACTTGATTCTAGAAGCTAGGGGAAAGGCAAGAGAGTCATTAAAGTGTGAAGGGGATAGTGAGACCCAGGGAGCTGATACCTTGAGATTGGAGAGCTGCCCAAAGTTCTTGCCACACTCATTGCACTCGTATAGGATTTTACCATTCTTTTTCTTCAGAGGATAGGGCAGGGTGACAATACCGGCCTGGGAGCCTGGCTGTTTTGCAGGAGCTGCCACACCAGCCTGTCCTAGGGAGAAGGTTGAGTCATCTCTAGAGCTCTGACTTCTAACCTTGGGATATAGGTTATGTCCAGCACTCTGGAAAGACCCCGAGTAGAGAAGCAGGGGCTTCTCCTGGGTGATATGGGGCCCAGTTCCATTGTCTGTCGTAAGCAAGCTGGATGCAGCCACAGTGGGGTATGAGTGGTCTGGGGGCATCGTGAAGAGGTTCGGACATTGGACAGAAGGTAGGGCCGCGTAAGTGAATAGGTAAGGGGGAGGCAGGAGATATGGGTACCCAGGGAAGACTGGGTAGGTGTGGATAGGGAGTTCCCTGGAGATGACAGTGGGAAGAAGCCAGGGCCAGAAGGTCGAGGAACTGGGGCTCTTTCTGTTCATCCTGAAGTCCAGGGATGAGGTGTGAGGAGGGAGGAAGAGGCAGGAGCCTCTTTTTAGTTGGTTCCCCATCTCGTCTCTGTTTGTTGAGTCCTTGGTTGTGAGTTCCTCGCTGTCCATAGAGTCTTTGTGCAGGCCTGGTGGCTGGAGCTCTAAACCAGAAAGGGAAGGTGATCAGGCCCGGCTCAGTCTGGACTGAACATCTGGCCCCTCTTAAGCCTGCCCAGCTCAGAGTTGGGAAAGAACCTTCCAAGTGCTGGGCACTTCCCTCTGGGACTCAGTTTCCCCACTGCTACTAAGCCTGGAATAAAAGCTTCAGGGTGCACCTGAATATTTCAGGCAGAAAAAAAAATGTATAATCAGTCCACTAGACATCAGGGAGAGGGGTCAAGTGCACAGACTACTACATGGGGAGGAGAGGTCAAGTATGCAGATAGGTAAGCTAAAGTTTAAGGCAAAGGTCCCAGATTAAATATATAAAGTTGGGTGCCATGGGTCATGAGGAGGTCACATAAGGGTCCCAAGGGGCAGCTATTGAACACGACTAAATTAACATTACAGTAAGTTTAGTAAAATATTCAGGTCTTTGTTGGGCATGGTAGCATATGCCTGTTACCACAGAATTTGGGAAGTGGAGGCAGGAGAATCAGGAAGGAATTCAAGGTCATCCCTGGCTACATAGAAAGTATGAAGCCAGCCTGGGCTACATGGGACCCTGTCTCAATAATAGTGAATAAAAAATTAAAATAATAGGGGCCCCAAAATGGCTCAGCAGGTAAAGGTTCCTGCCACCAAGCCTGATGACCTAAGTTCATCTCCAGAGCCCACATGGTGAAGGAGAGAATTGACCCTGCATGTTGTCCTCTGATCTCCACATGTACACCATGGCATGTACACACACACACACACACACACACACACACACACCTTTTTTCTGAGACAGAATCTCACTGTACAGCCTTGACTGGCCTGGAACTCATAGAGATCTGTCTGTTTTTGCCTCCTGAGTGCTAGAATTAAAGGTGTGTGTCACCTTGCTCAGCTACTGAATTAAAAAAAAAAAAATGTCATGTCATAAAATTTAGTTTTTCAGTTGTACTAGTTACATGTAAGGTGCCTGCTAGCACACACACGTGTGAACCCAGCACTCAGGAGAAGGCAGGAAGAGCGTGTCCTTAGAGTAGTACTATTCCACATAAAGAGCACAGGACTGGAGAAAAAGGAAAGGACACTGGAGTGAAGAGAACAGGAGATGAGGAAAAGGAAGAGGAGGACTGGAAGGGAAGACGCACAGGAAGACTGGGGATAAGAAGGAAAGAGAGGATGTGGAAGGGGTAGGGAGACAGTTGGAGACTGACTGTGCGCTGTGAAAACATTCAGGGGGTAAATACAGGAGCAGGCATGGAAAACACAGCCCAGCTGGGCTTTGGCGGGAGTGGGGTGTGGGTAAGGCTAGAATGATAAATAATAAGCCCGGGGCTTGGGTCCTCGGCTCAGCGGTAGAGTGCTTACCCAGCGTGTAGGAGACGCTGGATTCTATCCCCAGCATTGGGGCAGGGAGAACACCAAAAGTGGGGAGCTGATTATCTGCCCAGACCCCCATTTATTTCCTCAATCAAAAATTCTTTTTTGAGGGAGCTGGAGAGATGGCTCAATGGTTGAGGGCACTGGCTGCTCTTCCATAGGACCCAGGTTCAACTCTCAGCTCCCACATGGTGGCTCACAGCTGTCTGTAACTCCAGATCCAGAGCATCTGTTACCTTCATAGCAATGAAGACATGAAAGAATCAAAAAGGGCATTAAAAAAAAATAAAGGAGAGAGAAATCTTTTTGAAATAGGATCTTTCTATTATGTAGCCCTGGCTGTCCTGGGACTTGCTGTGTAGATGAGGCTGGCCTCCAAATCAGAGATCCACCTGCGCCCGCCTCCCAGTGCTGGCATTAAAGGTGTGTGCCACCAAACCTGGCTCCCTCAGTCAGTTTGAAGGTGCTGTTTCACTCTGTGTTCTGTGTTAGGGTCCTGCTGGGGTCCCCAAAATAAAAGACAGAGCATGTCAGCCCCTGTCCTCCAGGAGGCCTCGGTGTATTCCAATACAGCAAACATAGAACAGCTCCCAAGGAGACCCTGCCTCTATAGACGAGCAAAGCATGTGACTCGCCTAAAGCTGGGGAACTCGAAAGGACAGAGTAGGACTCAAAGCCCAGTGGGCCCCAGTCCAGGGCTCCTCTCATCTACCCTTTTGTTTTTTTGAGACAGGGTTTCTCTGTTTAGCTTTATGGACCAGGCTGGCCTGGAACTCACAGAGATCCACCTGCCTCTGCCTCCCGAGTGCTGAGCTATCTGTCTCAGGCAAGGACAGCAGGATCATTGAGCTTTGCTGGCCAGCCTACCTCCAGGTTCAGTGACAGACTGTGTCTCGCAGGACTAAGGCAGAGACTAAGAGGGTAGGACTGTGGAGTCGTCCTCTGGCCTCCACATGGGTATGTGTCCTAAAGTTACATACACACATGCACACATACCACATACACACGCAAAAATCAATTGCCCATAATAAACATTTATACTTAAAAAAGTAGCCAATGAATTGGCTGAGTGGATGAGGCACCTGTTACCCAGCCTGACAATAGGAGTTTGATTTCCGGGACCCATGTGGTAGAAGGAGAGAGCTGACTTCTGCAAGCTGTCCTCTGACCTTCATGTGCATGCCTGCACACATAACTAACTAAATGCAAAATTAAAGCCTGCTCTAGCTCAAACATTCTAGGCCAACAGAGTTACCCCCCACCTTGATGATTGGCTATACCAGCTGCTTTGCTATTGTCTTGAAAGGTCACGGGCAACTCTGGCCAGAACCCCAACATTAAATGAGATAGAAAAGTATGCCTGGGGATCTATATTCATTACTAGCACACAGGTCCTAGACCCTTTCCCATTCCAAAACCTTTGTCCCCTTCAACCCATCAACAAAGCTCTCAGGTCCAGCCCCAGGCCTCAGACTCACTAATGTTTGAGGCATCCTCTCTGAGACCCAGGAATGTCTTCTGCAGGGTGTAAGGGTATAGGTCTGAGCCTTGTGGCCATGCCAGCAAGGAAGATTTAGCTGGTGCCAGAGGCAAGGGGCACATCCAGTTGGCCCAGGACAGGTCATGAGTATCCATTGTGTTTGGGAGTGGCTGAGAAGTGTTGGCTGAGGAGACCTAGGAAGCAGGGGAAAGGCCTGAGGGTCCAGGCCTGAGCGTCTCTGGCATAGGCTCACCCCTAGTTTGGTTTCTAAAAGAAGCTAAGCTATGGGCACTCACTCACCATACCTTTCATTCAAATGGCTACCCTTTCCTCCTCCAAAGGTTTCTCTCTCCAAGGGCTTTTTTTCATTGGCCCTAAGCTGTCCCCTCCTCCCTACATAGCTTGCCCCGTTCTCCCCACACACCCCAACCTCTGATCAACCTGGTGGCCATCTGCTGTGCTGTTCTGAAGAGGACCAAAGTAAACTTGGGGGGAATCCTCATCCAAGGCTGCAAAGGCCACAGGATGCTTCTGAGCCCGCACTGAAGTCCAGGGCCATGGTCAGCCATGCATTCTGTGTGGCCTTTCCCTCTTCTTACCTACAGGACAATCTGAGCCCCTGAAGCATAGACACAGGGCCTCTGGCACCTCTACCTGGAGCAGGAAGGTGAGGGCCCAGCCCATTCACACATTCCACTCCTCCTCTTAACTGGGCAGGCATTTTCACAGAGAAGGGCATGTCTCACCCTACCTGGTCATCTTGAAAGAGTTGGAAGCCCAGGCTGGAGGGCAGGGGTGTCCTGAACCAGCCAGAGCCTTTGTATTGTGGTAACAACCCAACCAGGCAGCTGGTGTTCCCACTACCAGCTGGGGAGTGTCAAAGAGAGCTGTGAAGGCTGGCTTCTGGCACTGGCACACTCACTGTGAGGAAAGGCTGGAAGCAGGTCACTTTCTTCCTGGCCTCTGTGTCTCTATATGAGAAATGGAGGGCTGAGGACTGGAGACGGAGCTTAGTTGATAGCGTGTGTACCTTGCATGTGTGAGGCCTTGGGTTTGATCTCCAGCAACACATAAACTGTAATTCCACCACCCAGGCAGTAGAGGATGGAGGATTGGGACTGTATTGTCATCGTGGCTACACAGGGAGGTCAAGGCTATGTGAGACCTTGTCTCAAAATAAAAGTAAAGAGAAATGGATACGGTCCTAGCTAATATGTGGCAACTGTCTTAGTCCTGCCATGTGGAAGCCAATGACACTTCCCTGGAAGGTGTAGAAAGGATATTAAATGAAGAGTAAATCCCTTTTGGGGGCTCTGAGGGAACATTCTAGATTCCTTGAGGCCATCGAGAATTGGGGAGCCTGCCTTTTCCAAAGAGAACGGGACCACAGCAACCAGAGACTCCCACCATCCAGACTCACCCAGGTAGCTTTTCTGGGAAACAATGGGGTCTTGTGAATCTTGTTTGTTCCAGGGTCAAGTCCCTCAGCTGTGGTGAATTCCTAGAAATGGAGAGGTCCCAGGTACCACCTGCATAGCCTGACAAGAAGATGCCCCTGCGTTCGGCCAGCCGCGAGTCAGCATCCTGAGGCTCTCCTGTCTTCATCTCAGGCCACACAATACATAGGTCAACTTAGCTAGGCAACTGCCACCTACCCCTCCTGTCCCAAGTGGATCCAAATGCCCCTTAGATTCTAAAATCCTCAGCCCAGGGTCTCAGTTACCTCCCCACCCCAATACCTGCTCTTTCAGCCTCAGGTCTCAAATACCATGGCCTGGAAGGAACCAGCTGGCTGTATGGGCTCTTCACCTGGTTCTGCAGAAGCCCTCTCTGGCTGGGAAGGACAGAGGTTGGGCAGATAGGCAGCTGTGCCTGTGACTGAGGCCCCGGGGTGGGAGGTTGGTAAAAGATGACAGGAAGATGCAACACGTTTGAAGTTGCCTTAAATGGGCTTCCAGGAAAGAGAGAGAGGGGTTCAGAGGAGGCTGCCAAGGCCCCTTTGGTCCTAAGGCATAATCTTCCTGTTCAGATTGTTTTCTCTTTTTGAAACAGGGTCTCGCCCAGGCAGTGGTGGCACAGTGACCTTTAATCCCAGCACTCGGGAGACAGAGACAGGTGGATCTCTGAGTTTGAGGCCAGCCTGGTCTACAGAATGATTTCCAGGATAGCCAGGTCTACACAGAGAAATCCTGTCTCAAACAAACAGAAAGAAAGAGAGAGTGGGGATAGAGAGAAAGAAAGAAGGAAGGAGAGGAAGAAAGAAGGAAGGAAGGAAGGAAAGAAGGAAGGAAGGAAGGAAGGAAAAGAAAAAGAAACAGGTCCTTCCACAGCTGAGGCTGGCCTTGAACTTCCAATCTTCCTTCCTCTGTTTCCCAATAGTGTTAGGGGCACCACACCAGGACTGGGGTGTGAGTTTTGGCTGTGGCTACCCCCAGCCTCTATTGATACAGTATGTTGCTATTGTTGTTTGGAGACGGTTTCATGTAGCTAGCTGGCCTCAAACTCCCTCCATAGACTGGGCTCGGTAGCCTGTTACTCTCCTGGCTTCCTCCCTTAAGTTCTGAGATTGCAGCCCTGCATTTCCACAGCTGGCCTTCTGTTTGTCAGCCTGCTGCAGTACCTCACCTCCATGTAAAGTGAGGCGAAGTCTCTCCCACTGCAGCCTTTACAGTCAGGAACCCATGTGACACACTCGTTCAGCCTGAATGAATGCCTGTGCACCATGTGTGTGCAGTGTTGGTGGGAAGCCAGATGAAGGCATCAAATCCCATCCTCTGGAAGAGCATCCAGTGTACTTAACCCCTGAGTCATCTCTCCAGCCCCTAAATTTTGATTTTAAGCTGCATGTGCAATTATAAGATCATGTCGTCTGCTCTCTTTCTCTCTCTAGCCCTGGTGCTGTGCCCCTGCACACTTGTCTCCTACTCCTAGCTGACTGGGTAGTGTGGCTTTGCAGAGGTGTGTGTCCTTCCCGTATGGCGTTCCCTATTGGTGGACACAGAGATGAAGCTGTAAAAGCCCCCAGAGTCAACATGTGGAGTTGTTAGTCCAGCTCTGCTAGACTCCATCCAGCTGGGTAAGTTCACCATAAATCCCCTGATCTCTCTTGTTTCTTCATCTGTCAAGCTCCACCTCATGGAGCTTTGTCCAGGATTCTTCAAAATAATCAGTGGAAAGCCTAAAGGGTGGGCCCGGTCCACAGCAAGCACTTGGAACAAGTGAGTTTTACATCACCCTTTGTCTTGTCGGGCAGTGGCCTAAGACAGCTTCCCAGGGGTTTCAGCAGACAGGGAAGGCTGTACTTGGAGAGACTGAGTTAGTTCTGGTTTATGGCTTTGCTCATTAACCCCTTCCTGGCTCCTGGCTCCTGGCTAGGTATCACTGCCTTAATGCAATGCAGTCTGCTCCAGTCCAGTCTGCACAGAGCGGGCACTGCACCTCCTAGAACAGCTGTCCTCAACATGTGCCAGCCACTGGGTAGGACATGTCTGCAAGAGTTGTCTCATCCTATCAGCACCATGAGCCTTCAAGATGGATGCCACTGTTCCCATCTACAGGGTGGAAAACTGACACTCACCAAGAGAAAGTGATTCACTCAGTATCACGCAGCTCCAAATCTGAAGACAGAACAAAAGATAGAAAGGAGCGTGTTGGCTGTTGCTGCTATTATTATTATTATTATTATTATTATTATTATTATTATTATTATTTTGGTTTTTTTTTGAGACAGGGTTTCTCTGTGTAACAGCTTTGGCTGTTTTGAAACTTACTCTTTTGACTGGCTGGCCTTGAACTCACAGAGATCCACCTGCCTCTGCCTCCCAAGTGCTTGGATTAAAGGCGTGTGTTTTTGCAGGGGTTGGAAGTGAGCCAAAGGGTACAAAGATGTCGTTATACCTAGAGATGGAATTACAAAGATGACTAACAATATTAGAGAGAGCAGGGCTAAGTTGTATAATCCAGAAGCTGAGGCAGGAGGATCATAAATTCTAAGCCAGCCTTGGAATTCTAAACGGGGGGAGGGGGTGGGGGGGAGAGATGGCTGAGCAGTTAGGAGTATTTGGTGCACTGGCAGAAGACCAGAGTTGGGTTCTGGTTCCCACAAGCAGCAGCTGGAAACCCCCTGTGTCCACCTCCAAGCACTGCAACACCCTCTTCTGGCCTCAGAAGAACCTGCACACATGTACACAGACACATACACTCAAACAAAATCGTACCTGGGCCTGGTGGTGCACGCCTTTAATGCCAGCACATGGGAGGTAGAAGCAGGCAGATCTTTGTAAGCTCGAGGCCAGCCTGGTCTATATAGTGAGTTCTAGGACAACCAGGACTACATGTGACTTCATAATGTTTTGTTTTTGTTTTTCCCTGAAAACCGAGGGGGGGGGACCTGCCATTCACTCATTCACATATTTTGAGACAGGGTCTCATGGAGCCTAGCTGTCCCTCCAATTCTCTATAGCCCTGGATGACATCAGGGCATAACAGCTGAGCAAAGCACAGTAGTACAGTAAAAAAAAAAAAAAGGGGGGGGGATGCAATGGCATCACAGGCAAATCCCCCCCCCCATTTCCTCTTCAATCACTGACACCTCCAGGTAGCCTAGTGCCAGCTGAAAATGGCTCCAAGAGCTTTGTCATGTGGCTGTTTTTGAGAGGACCATGCCAGCTCAGGAGAGGGCCTGGCACTGAGGCTGGCCCGGAGGGAGAGCAGAGATGTGGGACATGATTCTAAGGACTGGGCTAAGGGGGCTCCCCACCTGTACTGTGGTTCACACCTTCCTCCCTCTGCCTGACACCTTCTTGCTTATCTCTTAGGACAGCCCAGTCTGTCAGATACCCTGAGTGGGCCCTGACTTCACACCCCGGGGTGAGGAAGAGATCTTGAGATAGGGTGTTCCAGCTCTCACATTTGCACAGGGGCATGCAGACTCTTGCATCCTTCCCCTGCACCCTCAGTGACTTTCCATTCCTTCTGGGTACGAAAGTCCAACCGTGTCTTCAAGTGACATCCAAGGTCTTCCCACCAAGCCTCTCCTTCTGGCCATCCCAAGGGCTGGAAAGAAAAAGCCACATCGCTGGGATTCAAGCCCTCCTCCTCCTGTTCTTTTGCATGCATATGAATGTCTGTGGTGTGCACGCGTGTAGAAGTATGCTCACACTTCTGTGTGCGGGTGCAAACTCATGTGTGAACGTCTGAGGCTAACATTGAGGGGATCTTCTTCGACTGGTCTCCATTCTACCCAATTGGGCAGGCTTTCTCAATCTAACCCAGAGCTTTAGGATATGGCTGGTCTCACTAGCCAGCTCACTCCAGGGAATCCCCTAGCTCCACCTCCCCAGAGCTGGGATTACATAACTGGAAGGTCTCACTCTTGCATACAAGTACTTTATCCACTGAGCCATCTCCCCGCACTCCCCAAACAGCTAACATACTCTTAGCCACTAGGAAGCATGGCCCATCATGTGTATGGATGTCCTCTCCAACCCATGTGGGATGAGGAACAATTGGAGTCCAAGCCTATATCCACCAGAAAAGGAATGCAGTGTAAAATGGACATCTATGTACCATATACAGAGTTCACCTCTATACCCACCAGCAAAGGAATGTTGTGTATAATGGACATCTATGTACCATATAGAGAGTTCACCTCTGTATCCAACAGAAAATGAATGCAGTGTAAAATGGAGATCTGTGTGCCAGATTATGCTACAGCCAAGAAGAAGCAATGCATCGGCGCCTCCTTCCTATGTGCCAGACGTTTGCAGTCTTCTCACATAACAGCCTTCATCGTGGTTGATGGCAACAACTATTAATGTTCCCGCTTTGCAGCTGAGTAACCGAAGAGCTGAGGTCCAGCAGAGAGCATCAATGGAGGAGAGGTGGAGCAGCCCAAGAGTAAGCAAAATGAACAGGCTACAGCAGGGAGACACAGGACCGAGGCAAAGCTCAGAGCAGAGGCCATTCTTGGAACTGCCATACTGCACATGATTAGAGACCAGTGCTGCCAAGGTCTTCCTTTTCTAGAAAATAGGCAGATCACAGTTTTATGGGGGAAAATCTCTTTGTTTTGCTTTTTTGTTTTTTTGAGACAAGGTTTCTCTCAGTAGCCTTGGTTGTGCTAGAACTTGCTTCCTAGACCAGAGTGGCCTCGAACTCACAGAGGTTTACCTGCCTGTCTCCCAAATTCTGGGATTAAATGTGTGTGCCACCACCCTGTTTTGTTTTGCTTTTTAAGACAGGGTTTCAGCTAGGGCTGTGACACAGAGAAACCCTGTCTGGAAAAACAAAAACAAAACAAACAAAGACAGGGTCTCATTGTGTTTCTCTGGCTGTCCTGGAATTCACTATATAGACCAGGCTAGCCTTGAATGCACAGAGAGCCACTTGTCTCTGTCTCCCAAATGCTAGTATTAAAATTAAAGTATTAAACATCAATGTTTTTTTTAAAAAATCAGTTTGAGTGATTTAAAACAATGTCCCTGCCACTAAGACAGACCCTTGTACCAGGTTCAGCAGCCCCTGTCCAGGGTCCCTGAACCTTCTCATCTGTCTAGAGTCTCCAAAAGTTGGGCACACCTTTGATCTCAGCACTTGGGAGGCAG